TTTTGGCGCTTTGGGGCCGATTTTGGGAGGTTTTGGGGCGCCCCTGTGGATATTTTGGTTTTTTAAAGGCACTTTGGGGCCGGTTTTAGGGGGCCCCCCGAAAATTTAGGGGTTTTTGGGGTGCCCCGCCCAAAAATTTGGGGGTTTTTGGGCACTTTGCGGCCGATTTTTGGGGGTTTTGGGACCCTTTTGGGGCACACCCCCCAAATTTTTTGGGGTTTTTAAAGCACTTTGGGGCCGATTTTAGGGGGCCCCCCGAAAATTTGAGGCGTTTTCCATCGATTTTGGGGCGTCCCCCCGAAAATTTGGTGGTTTTTTGGGTGCCCCGCCCAAAAATTTGGGGGGTTTTGGGCACTTTTTGGCACCCCCCAGAGTTTTTTTGGGGTTTTTTAAGGCACTTTGGGGCTGATTTTGGGAGGGACCCCAAAAATTTGGGGGTTTTTGGGGTGCCCCACCCAAAAATTTGGGTTTTTAAGGCGTTTTTGGGCCGATTTTGGGGGTTGGGGTTTTTTAAGGCACTTTGGGGCTCATTTGGGGGGGGGACCCCAAAAATTTGGGTTTTTAAAGGCGTTTTTGGGCCGATTTTGGGGGTTTTGGGCCCTTTCGGGGCCGATTTTAGGGGGTCCCCCCCAAATTTTAGCGATTTTTTGGCACTTTGGAGTTGATTTTGGGGCGCCCCACCCAAAAAATTTGGGGTTTTTTGGCACTTTGGGGCCGATTTCGGGGGTCCCCCAAAAGCTTTTTGGATTTTTTGGAATTTTGAGGCTTTTTTGAGGCGTTTTGGAGCCGATTTTGGCTTTTTTGGGTCCTTTCACGCTCATTTTGGGGCGCCCCCAAAATTTTTGGGGTTTTTTTCCCCCCCATCGATTTCGGGGAGGGTTTTTGGGAGGATTTTGGGTTTTTTGGGGTCTCCCCTCCCCGGTTGTAAATAAAGATGAGAAGAAAACAGCGAAATTTGGGGGATTTTTGGGAAATTTGGGGAAATTTGGGGAATTTTGGGGATTGACCCCAAAATTGGGGCGAGGGGGAGATTTTGGGGAGGGGGAGGGGATTTGGGGGGCGGAGCCCCCAAATTTCGGCCGCTGCCGCCGCCCCTTTAAGAACAAGCCACGCCCCTTTGAGGGGCTACGCCCACCTCGCGCCCCATTGGTGGATCCGCGGCAGCGCCGCCTCTGATTGGTCGAGAGCATCGCGGCGGGCACGCGGGCCGGGAGGGGGCGCCACGTGAGCGCATGCGTAGTGATGAAACCTCACGGCGCGTCCGCATAAATCTACGTACATTTACATAAATCTGCATAAATTCCGGCCGCTGGCGATGAGGCGATCAGCGTCATTAAGCTCATTTGCATAAGGATCTCTGTGGGCGGCGTTGCCATGGAAACGACCCCCCCCAAAGGCGCCTGAGGTGAGGCTGGGCCTCGCCCGCCGCGTGCTCCAAATCTCGCGAGATCTCGCCGGCGACGATGCTCTCCCCTAGCGAAATCTCGCGAGAGCTGAAAGCGGTCAGGCACAGCGCATCAGCGCTGCGCTCTCGCGAGACCAAGCCGACGGCGCCGCGCTGTTGAGTGCCGCAAATCTCGCGAGAACTCGCGGGCGGGGCGGCGCCGCCAAGCCTTAACCCCACCCTCCCTCGCCGCGCGCATGCGCACAGCCCCCTCCGCCCCACCCCCCTCCCTTGTGTACGCATGCGCAACTCCCTCCGCGGCGCGGCCCCACCCTCCCCGCGCATGCTCAGTGCCGCTCCCCCCCCGCCCCGGGGCGGGCGCGCATGCGCGGTGGGGCCCGGGGGTTGCAGCAGCTCCAGCGCGGCGGCGGTTCGGGCTTCGGGGCTCGCGGGCGCGGGGGTGAGTCCGGGCCCGGCCCCGGGGGGCTCCGGGGGGCGGCAGCGCCTTTGGGGAGGGGGCGAGAAGCTCCGGGATGGCTCCCGATCCCTTCCCGGCGCGGTTTTCCCCTCAGGCCCGGCCTAGGCCGCGCCCGCCCGCCAGGGGGCCGCGTGGCGGCGGCGAGAGCGCGACCCCCCCCCCTTAGGAGGAATTTGGGGATCCCCCCCGAGACCTTATCAGGAATTGGGGGACCCCCGAAACGCCTTATAAGGAAATGGGGGACCCCCGAGATTCCACATAAAGAAATTGGGGGCCGTCAATTTTCCATATAAGGAAATGGGGGACCCTCGAGTTTCCATATAAGGAAGTTGGGGGCCCCCCAATTCCATATAAGGAAGTTGGAGACCCCCCTCGTTTCCGTATAAGGAAGTCGGGGAGCCCCCAATTCCATATAAGGAAACGGGGTACCCTCGAGTTTCCATATAAGGAAGTTGGGGAGCCCCGCCGCTCCTTATAAGGAAAGGGGGGAGCCCCCAACTCCTTATAAGGAAATGGGGGACCCTCAAAACTCCTTATAAGGAATTTGGGGAGCCCCCAACTCCATATAAGGAGTTGGGGGGACTCCTGTAGAGAAGGGATTCCCCTCCTGGGATAAAATGCTCGGGGAACAAATTTTTCAGGCTTCCCCCCGACCCCCCAAATTTCACTTTCCCCACCCCAAACCCTGTTTTTTTTTTGGGGTTCCCCCCCCAGAGAGGCGATGGCCGACGACCTGGACTTCGAGACGGGCGACGCGGGGGCGTCGGCCACGTTCCCCATGCAGTGCTCGGCGCTGCGCAAGAACGGCTTCGTGGTGCTCAAGGGCCGCCCCTGCAAGATCGTGGAGATGAGCACCTCCAAAACGGGCAAGCACGGCCACGCCAAGGTAGCCACGGCCCCGGGGAGGGGCTGGGCTCGGAGTGGGGGGGCGCAGAATTCCCGAAATTCCGGAGGAAATCCCGAAATCCTGAGTTGAGTCAGCCCCGAGTGATCCCGGCTCCTTGGAGTCTTTTAGGGGTTCTGATCCCCCCAAAAACCCAAAATTGGGAATTTGGGAATGCCAAGGTAGCCACGGCCCCGGGGAGGGGCTGGGCTCAGGGTGGGGGGGTGCAGAATTCCCGAAATTCCAGAGGAAATCCCGAAATTCCGGAGGAAATCTGAAAATCTTGAGCGGAGTTAGCCCCGAGTGATCCGGGTTGCTGTAGAGCCTCTCAGAGCCTTTTTATTGGT